AATTTAATTTTACCTGGCAATACTTGGTAAAGGAAGACTGTATGTAAAGGTGATTGTGATTAGTGGATCTGTTTTCGGCTTTATCACTGTCAGGATAATTACTAAAGAAACCAAAGGTAGGATTTGTATAATAATAAACGATTCATTGTTATTTAAAGTCCTGAGAAGTTTCCAAATGTTCGTATATTTGCTTAAATGAAGAAAATTATATTAATGAATTGGCAACTCGACTACAACCACAGCTGCCACAAGATCCTCAATCAAATTTTCCTCATTATTTAAACAAATATACGAACATTTGGAAATTTCCCATAACCTTAAATAACAATGAATAGTTTATTATTATAAAAAATTCTACCATTGGTTTGTTTAATAATTATCCTGACAGTGATACAGCCGAAAACAAATCCACCAATCACAATCACCTTTACATACAGTCTTCCTTTACCAAGTATTGCCAGGTAGAATTGCGAGTACGAGACCCAGGGTGGGGTCAGTGCATCTTTGGCTGTCTGAACAACCTGGATTTGGTGAACGTCCGCCCTATAAGGGGTCACAGCTCCTAGTTGCAGGTCAACTGTGAGGGCCAACTTTTTTGGAGTGAGAATTGTGAACTCTTGGAACAATCTGCCAGAGAGCGTTGTGACGGCACCGAGTGTGAGCTCATTCAAGGCCAGACTTGACCAACAGTGGGGCAGGTTCAGATATATTCAGGAGCCAGTGCATGCCCAGTATTTGTCAACAATGCGTAAAAGAGACGTGGCCGACCGCCCAAGCTACCAACGAGCCAGTCAGTGGCAAAGAGGATAGAAGTAAAAGTAAGACAAAGATGCAAAAAAAAGTGCTTCTGTGGCATAAATAAAACAAAGTTGGCCAAGAACTGCGTGACTCAGCTGGCGTAAACAGTTGTCATAAACAGTAACAAGACCCTCACTTGACGCTCAATGAACCTCTCAATGCTTAACTCATCCTTATCTTAAAGTTCCTACACACACACACACCTTGATGCAGAAGGATTTTGTTTTTATTCCTCATGACAATAATATAGAAACTGAAGTTGTTTGTGAAACATAATTGTCATCACTTGCAAAAATCAATGAACAACTTGAAAACCAACTGAAGTAATTATAAGATGCATTATTATCAATAAGCTGCTTGTTAAATACGATTTATCTAATAATCATGGACAGACTACTGTGCCGTCCTCATATCTGAGGGTTGCCGACCACAGTCCTCCACTCTAAACGATCATGGGCTGTTTTGCCAATCCTCCATTATTTTTTTACGGGCATAGGTCAATTTATGACCCACATCAAGGCCTGGTGGACGAAAATATAATACAACAACAACAATAATAATAATAACAATAATAATAATAATAATAAACAATATAAAAATAATAATAGTAATAATAAAGAGCCGTAAATAAATACAAAGATTAAAAAAATTCAATAGTGAGAAATGATGTATGTATGTTGTGTTGACAAAGTAAGAGAAACAATTGAGACCTTGCAATTGTGTATAAATGAAGCAGAAAGTCAGATCAGCAACCTGGGCTTGGTCACAATTTTTGTGGTGTCTGGGGACCCAGTTTTATTTTTATTCATCCATCCCAGTCTCTGCTTTCCCCTGGCCCTCCTACCCTCAACTTTGCCCATTAATACTTATGTTATTATCCCCTCATCCTTAATTTATTAAATATGACCAAAGTATCAAATTTTTCTTTTTATCTGTACATATCAAGTATTTCGCTTGAAATTGTTGCTATTTGTTTTTTAAATTCGTTTTTTTTGTCACTGTAGCTTATTTTTAGTATTCGCCACATTTCAAATGCCACCAACCTCTTTCTGATGTATATTAATGTCCTCTATATATACAACAGGTTTAATAAATATTAAGAGTCACTGGAAAAAGCTACTCGAGAGTTCAAATTAAGGTTCATCCTCCATTCAGTAAAGTATTCACAAACACAAAAAAATGAAAAACGTAGCTACTCCCTAAAACACTGTTGATACATTAATTCATTTGTGTACACAACATGTATAAAGAACCAACCACCCCACGTATTATTAAAAAATACGATCCCTGTACTTTCTAAAAACATCACATCAAAGAACAAACAATAATATAAATAAACTCTCCTCCCCTTTTCAACACACTCAACACATCAACTTGCATGGATTAGTTTTTGTTATACAGTATCACTTCTCACTTTCTTCCTAACATTACGTCATTTCTTCTTTACGATCCTTCAGTAATTCCCTGGAGTTTACAAACATTGGAAACCACTGTCCGTGCCCGTATCCACTGTGCTCCTCAGTGGTATAATAGTTGTCACAGATCCTTACCTCCTTGACAGGAATCAAACAATTCGTAAAAATTCACAATGCTTATCCGTCTATCAGTTTTGCCGAGAATATTATCGTCATCTATGTTGTTACACTTCTTAGTATGAGAACCATTATCTCGAGTTTCCACAAACAGGTTAAAATGACACAATATACTCTAGGTTCTTGCCCCTGTGAAGCGCAAGTTCCCGCCTGATTTTAGGTTCACTGAGTCAAAAGGTCAAGGTCGTGGTGCCCGAGGGATCTTCCATGAACTTCCTGGTTATTCTCTTAACAAACCAAGTTATGCTGCAAGTGTTCTTGTCGCTCTTTGTTTTAACAAATAAACTCCTCCTTGGTCCATCGTATCATCATCGACAAAAAAGTGTGTTTTTAACTTTCACTACTTTTTTTTTAAGATTTAGAGCAGATCACTCCAAAATTCCAATAATGCACTTCGTATTTTTTTCCTGAAATTTATACTTGCTTCGTGTTGACAGTCAAGGTGGAAAGGGCTCGTGTACTTGAGCAGCCCACAAGTGACATGAGACTGGTACATGGTTGTCCCATTGACTAAATTGGTAGGTAAGGGCCGCACCTCCTGTGAGGGGAGGAGGGGACATGGGTGCTGGCAGATGACCACACAACCTAACCAAGGTGTACCACGGCGTGTTTAAGCCAATGTTACTCTTCATTTTCCTTGATTTCTTTTAACAAAGTGCAACTCATAAGGACTTGATGGAACAAGAAAAGACAAATTATAATCAGGGGCGGATCCAGGAATATAAAAAAGGGGGGGAGGTCCAAGAAGTTGTGAGGGGGGGGGGGAACATGGCGAGCACAGCGAGCCTACCCAGCTGACCAATATCTTGGGCATTTTGAAGCCATGTGCACTTGATATTAGGAGATAGTCTGATAACTTTTTTACTATACAAAAATGCCTAAGTACAATACTACATTAAAGAAAGGGTATTTAAATTTTCTGATGAAAAGGGGGGTCCGGACGCCCCTGGATCCGCCCCTGATAACTGTAGCATAACATAAAACATCAGTTAGAAAATATTCATCTCAAATTTTCATTTCAACTTTTGGAACTGGGAACACCTGCTATAATAATTTTACTGAAGAGATAACTAAAAAGGAAATAGGAGAGGGGAGGAACCAACAGGCAATACCATCATTACTGGAACCACAGCCAATTGTCAATCACAGAAGAAAAATATCGCCTTTAACTCCTTAAATACAAATTATGTAATAATAAACTATCTGGTCACTTTTCAGTAATTAATGCCCAGATATAAAAAAATACACTTATAAACACACGAGTCATTAAATGAAGACTATAAACAAGCAACAGCATCTTGCCATTACATACACAATATAAATCCTAATAAGTTGGTACTGATAATTAATTTATGTTCCACGCGATCAATGAATTTGCAGGATCTTGGATTCGTGCGATGCTATAACGACAAAACTCATGTTACACGTATAGTTGCGTACATGTGTTCCTACATCCCCTGTGGTAACCCGTGTTTCCATAATCTTACAATCAGTCTCACTTCTTCTTTTTCTCTTCTATTTTTAATTTATTTTCTCTTTTTTTTTCGCTCCCCAGACCCAGTTGGGGGTCGATGACCTGTGACCGGGTGGGCTGTTCCCCGTAAAAAAAAAAAAATAAATAAATAATAAAAAAGGCCAACTTATATGACCTATAGCAGACCTATCCACCAATCACGTCCGTCGTTACACGGCCAATACTCATTCATTCATAAACATTGATACTACTACTGCAACGTTGCCGTTTGGAGGCACGGGTTACCACAGGGGCGTATAAACACATTTCCGCAACTGTAACAACAATACCTAACTAAACCTAACCAAAAATAAACTTTAAAATTTCAGATTTACTTACATTTAGTTAGTTTGTGTTGCATGCATGGGTGTTGGTGGTATAGTCGTATACCGTAACCCGGCTTCAATCCCCCGATTTTGGACAGTGGTGAAATGATAAAATAAATTATTTACACTACGGATGTCTGCCACGCGCCACACTTGAGTTCATGATCGCATGTAATATGTGTACAGTTGTTCTGTACAAAGCTTTTCTTTTGACAAAATTCAGACGCTCACCATTTAGTATATCTGTGCTTGTGGAGAATTATATTCAAATCAGCATATTAGCAGAGCAGATCAATTTTTCAACGAAATGAAAAATCTGAACACACCTGAGGTAGCGTGCCCCATCTCATGATGCTTAAAAATTCTTATGAACCTACTATACAGGATATATATATATATATATATATATATATATATATTTCATTAGCCCAATAAAGCACGCGGACTTCTACATACAATCAACACCCAAGGTATTTAAATATTTTGCTACTAAACTATAACAAAACCAGTGATTTTTACGTCATAAAAAGTATTTCCAAACATTTAATTACCTTATATATCTCAAGAATCTGCAGCTTAATTATTTAATCCACACGACCTATTTGGGTTAGATTTAGATCGAGTCTGATTATTGTTGAGGAAAACAGAAATTCACAGGAAAATTGGGACTCTTAACTTAATTATTTGGTTGATGAAAATGAACACAGTATTCGGAGGGAGCTCCGAATACTGTTGTGTACATTTCCAGCAACGTGTGGTTATTACACTCACCAGCAGTGGCGGTGAACAAAAGCAGCAGGAGGGCGGTGTGGACGTCTAGTCTCAGCTTCACTGTTCCCTCCATGGTCCTCCTGTGTACTGAAGTCACACGCACTTGGCCAGTGGCCACACAGACGCCGGTAGTTAAAAGAAAACGATACGACTGTTATCTCCTATGCTTATATCGTTACAATGCCTTATTGTTTCTCAATTTTCAGTAACGAGTCAGGCACTGACAATAGTAAGAACTGTATTTAATGTTGATCACCTTGAAATTCTTTTCTTCAGATTACGAGCACTAATGCACTTTTTGTACCTACAGTAGAGAGATTTTAAACAAATTGTCAACAGTCAGTCTACGAAAATATTAATTATTTAAGGACACTGCATAAGAAACACAGGAAAAGCAATATATCCCTCCATTAGAGTATAATAAATATTTAAATGTACTCTGTGGTGATCACGTGATTCGAAGTAGCTCAAGAGCCGCGAGTGACGTGACTTCTACGCAAGGTTCTCCCTCACTCCTCACGTCGAGGCGCCTGTTACGGTCTGTGCTGGGCGACCGTCCGTCATGTAGCAGCGGCCTCGGAGATGCCAGATGACCTCCACAGGCCTCCCCCACTACAGATACTGCGGCTCCACCAACCACCCTTATCAATGATTATCGATACCCAGCCAATATATGATCAACCCCAGACGTCGTCGCAGGTGGTTTAACATCATGATGGGAAGCAGGGAGAGATCGTGATGTGTGTTGAGCTCTTTATGGCAACACTTCTTGTTTGTTTGGTCGGTCGCAACCTTATGAGAGGCGTGTAGTGATCACACGAGCATTCTTTCATTCAGTAAGAGATGCTCGTCCTGGACTGTTTCTTATCTCAGCCTACTTGAAGTTTGGCCCGGTATCTACAGTAAAGACAAGTCTAACCCACAAAGATAATACGAGATCACTTGTTAGTGTGAACACTGCCGCAGTGTAGTTAATGTTACACATACTATTATAATAATACATTTAGTGCATTAAAGTCCACAACCTGCCATTAAACTTAACCTGCCACCTGTTTGTTTAGGTTTACTTAGCGTTTGTTTGTTCGTTGTTCTATGGTATTTACGGCCATGATAAGGAGGCGTGTGTCAGTAAGAGATAACCCATCTGAAGGAGTTACCCATGAACTATCACCATCTCTCTCAAAATTTTGTTGCCAGGATCCCAAAGTAATATGTAATTACAAGTTAGGAAGAAAAAATAAGAGGTAATGGTCAATTTATTTTCCTAGTTAGAAAATTTTCAGAAACTTAATGGTGTTTTATCCTGTTCTTAAAAAAAAGGCAATGAAAGGAGACCCAAATGACCCCTATATGAAATTAAATCAGCAGGAAACGGTCCATGACTCTTGCTTGGTCATGAGACCATCAGTACAGGATACGTGCAGTGCAGCTTGTCCTGTTAGCAGTTTAATAGTTACTGCGCTATTCCCTGTTGCTACGAAAAATAATGCCTGTGCTCCGAGTTGTAAAGTAACTAAACAAATTTACTTGAGTATTGTATTCGTGTAACATTTTTGGGTATTTGCTTTTTAAAAAGTACAGTACTCAATTTTGTTAGTACTTTTACTTAGGTATGGTTTTCTAATACTTTTACTCCAATACAATTGAGAAAAAATATATCGTTACGTTACATGTAAACTAATAATATATTTGTTTATTAATTAACTATTAACCATAGTAAAAGAGTTTTATGGGTAGAGCCGTAAAAGGTAGGGTGCGGGTGTAGGAGACATCGTGAGGTCACGTACCGAGAGGTCTCGTGGGTTGAGGTGACGTCATGTCAGGTGGCAGCCATGACAGTGGGCTTTCCCTTGGATTTGTTTTGTGCCATTAGTACCTGGACTACCCTCATACCCGCCCCCCTCCCCCATCGAATTCCCTCTCTTCTCCCCCACCTATCCTTCAGGGGCTTGGTCTTCCCATTAGACGTCAGTTGCTCTTTATCACTGAAGCTTAACACACCACTACCTGCATCCGCTATTTGTGAGCGTCTGTTTAATCATGCTGGGCTTATTATTTATTATTTAATTTATTTATTACACTCGAGGGGGCGACAAGCCTAGTCACAAGCCATGCGGTCGCACACTAATACATTGGTACTCTTGTCTCACAGGACATACTATGACTTGTGATATGGAGACAATATTGATATGATTTAAGGACACTGGGAGTTAGCACCCACCAAAGCGTGGGTAGCGTACAAGAATTAAATCTAAATTTGTACGAATAAGTAGGTGGTGACTCGTCCTGAGGTAGGAGGTCCCTGACAGTGGGACAGTGAAGGCAGTTACAGAGTTTACAGGAAGAGAAGTGCGGACCTTAAGTCCACGTCGGCGATACTTGTGTGGATATAGGAAGAAAGTAATCATCGTGTTGGATGGATATATTTTCAACCCGTTCACTATCCCTGAGATGGAATGTAGGGAGAGGAGCGGCTGAATGTATTCTCTTTCCGTAAGTCATGCTGGGCTTATATTTAGGCCTAAAACACCCTGATTGCGTTTGTGAGACCTCACTTGGATTACGCAGTTCAATTCTGGTCACCATAATACAGAATGGATATAGAATCCCTAGAAAGAATTCAGAGAAGAATGGCAAGACTAAACCCGGGCACTATGAACCTTGAGTACAGAGACAGGTTAAAGCATCTTAATTTGCACTCCCACGAGAGACGTAGAGTGAGGGGCGATATGATGGAGGTGTATAAATGGAAGTCAGGGCTAAGCAAAGGGGACATTACAAAGGTACTCAAACTATCCAACCAGGAGTGAACTCGAAACAATTGTTTTAAATTAAGACAAATTTAGATTTAGGCGCAAAATAGGTAAACATTGGTTTGGGAATAGAGTAGTGGATGAATGGAACAAGTTACCAAACTTCTTCATTAATTTGAATACGCTGGACAGCTTCAAACACAGGTTGGATAGATATAAGCTGGGCCGAGGTTAGCACCTACACTTTAGGATAGCTAGTACCTCATGAGATCAATGACAATAGGCTTTCTAAGACAATTCTCGAGTAATATACCTGTAGCTAGTCTCTCAGTGTCATTCATTAAAATTAAGTCTATACAATGCACTTATGACAATGGCTTTTGAAAATGGACTTGAGGTTAACAGTTTACCTGTACTGCAGTAGCATGATCTAGCTAACTTGCTCCGGGGTCGCTGGCTGTCTGCATCTGTAGGTTTTTTTCCCTTTTTTTTATTAAGACAGCGTGCAAAAGTGGCAAACCAGTATTTTACGTGTAAGTGTTTATGTGCATTTTTTCTGGGGAGGGGTCCATAGCTTTCATCAGATTCTTAAAGGGGTCCGTGACCCCAAAAAGGTTAAGAACCCCTGACCTAAACAAACTTTTAGGAAAGAACCGTTAAATAGCAGATGCAAAATATTAAGTTACTAACTTATATAATTTTTAGTGTACGGGAATTATTTTGGGTTCTCGAATAAAAAAAAAATACCCGGTATCTAGGAGCGTTAGTAGCAGGAGCAGAGTACAGTATACAGTACTGCGTTAGTAAGACCACACCAAAGAATGGATATTAATTCCCTAGACAACATCCAGAAAAGGATGACAAAGTTAAACCCGGACATAAAGGAACATTCCGTATGGAGACATAGGGTACTGTATTAAGAAAACTGACTTTAACTAACACGTAACAATAGTTTATGTAAAAAAAAAATAGGAAGGAATCGGGTAAACATTAGTGCGAAAATGGTGAATGAATGAAACGAGTTACTCAAACACCATCATCAACCGAACTCGCTGGGAAGCTTCCAATATAGGTTGGATAATTGGATTGATATAAGAGTGATAAAGGTTTGGTGTAAACAGAGTTGCCTAGAATGGGCCAACTGACCTACTGCAGGCCTACTAGTGCGACGGTGTCACTTGGAGGCACGGGTTACCACAGGGGGGCGAAGAAACATTTCCGCAACTGTACACTGATAACTTTCCTGGTTAAGCATGTGTGACAAGACAAAACTCGTATAAAAGACATTACATAGAGGTAGAATATCTATAGTAGGAGGAATGTAAAGAGAGGAAGTTTGGTAGCGTGGCCGGTTAGTTATTTACACTTATATTATCTTACACGTTCTTAAGGGACATACTTCTCAAACACCACATAGATACAACTATTTATTAATTCACTCAATGACACGGACACATTAATATCAATATTATATCGGAGTTACTAGCACATTATGTTTACGTTACTCGACACTGACTCTCGGACACGAACATGAAATGAATACACTTCCCACAGTAGGTAACTCACCCTAGGAATAGTTCTGACATGACTCACATTTGACCTGACGGAGGCCCAGTGGATGCTACTGGACTGTCTCGTATGGGAGATTCTGCTTAGCTGGTGACGCCGGGGTCTGGTCGGGAAGTCTCCCTCCCGACCTGGGGGGAGGACGAGCGTGACTCTGTGCGAGTGAACAGAATAACAACCCGAACGGGAGAGAGAGGAGTCGGATGAGAATGATGAGAGTAACGAGAATAATCTGCCCGCGGACGGGACTGCAGGGCCTTTTATACGGGGGAGACACAGCCGGCCTTTGACCTTTGCCAATTAACACTAAACTGGTTAGATCTGGACAGCTGTGTCCAGGTGTGGTCATGCCCGGTTGTGTCTTGGCTAGGTGTGGTTGTAGGTCAAGTCACCTGCTAATTCAAGTTATTAGCAGACGAGGTCAGGTGCCTTGGGTCCTGACCCAGGGTGTGTCAACCTGGTATGTTGGGGGACCACGAGACATGTACACACTCCCTGCTATATGTGTTGTAATTCTCTGGGCTGGAAGCTATGGTCTACTAATCACTCATTACACCTCCCGCCAAGACCAAAGCTTCCATCACAGAGAACTGATGACACATATAGACAGTAATATCATGTGTAGTATCTAAGATAGTCCCTGAGGCGATAATACAATCTCACATTTACAAACAATAATCTCATAGATGTATGTTTTTCTACTAGCTTAGTTTGATTTGACAAAGCTTACTATACATGTACGGTGAGGTGGGGTCATGCAGCGCCTAACAAATTTCTGTCTCGGTATTTACCTTAAAATTTAGCTTGTACGTAAGTCAGGCATTTGCCGGACACATGGTCATAAAAAAATCACGTTCCGGGGAGTGCTAATCTGCACAGCCTGGAATGAAGTATGGTTACAATTCACCTAACAGAACTGAAGTTACTGCGTACAAACTCTCTATAGACAACGAGATGGATGCCCAACCGTATATCCAGAGAACCTTTTTGGTCGGGGAGGGGGAATACATCCAGGCACTGCTGAACCTACAGATTGCCAACATACAGTACAACTGGGTCATACGGGACGTGCATGATTATGTTTCCCTGGACAACCTCAAACTTGGGACCCTGAAATCCTAGGCAACAGATATTATTATTCAACCAAGGCTCCAGGAAATAAATCACAAAAGCAGTGCATTTAGAGTAGTGACTGAGCCTCTCTCAGCCAGTGTGTTAACAAAGCGGTTGGTCACTTTGACACAA